AATAATTCATACTGAAATAGTAAGCTGTATTGTTAGAAGCAGCACCTGCACTATGCATATGGATTTCTTTGAATTCAATTCCATTTTAATTCTACTTCCTTAATTGGAACTTCAGGGTCATTTCTCAGGGTCATTTCTCAGTTTAATTCTGAATGGTGAACAGCCCTATTCGGTCACAGCCTGTGTACCTGTAGCAAGTCTCTCCATGGCCTTTAGATTTATTGAATTATGCAAGATGTACTGGAATCTTCCGTCCCATGTAGCAGATCGGAATCCTCTTGCCCTCCACTGTGATGAAATTTAAGGTTTATACCATCATGCATGATTCTGAAAGACGTTCTGCTGCAAGCCAGGGGACGCAGAATACCCAGTGCGACAATTTATGTTCATGTTTATAAAAATGCTTACAGTTCCTGATTGTGTACAGCACCATTTCACACCATATAAAAGTTAATGAAATCCACTGTGTTAGCATTGTTTTAACAGGTCATTCTCACAGGTGTTAACTGTCCGCACTTGTCCTGCTTTGTAATATGTGTTTTCCGTAGGCTGGGGAAGGTTGCTTTGGGACGGATGAGTCCACCTTCAGCTACATCCTGTCGCAGAGGAACTACCTGCAGCTTCAGGCCACTTTCAAGATATATGAATCGGTATTTTCCCGTCGCGATGACACTGCTCATCCTGTGTAGCTCACCACTGTGTTCACATTCTATTCACTTAATATTCCACAGATTCTGGATAAAAATAAATCAGCAAAAAGACCTGAGATATGAAAGGTGTCGCTGCACACTCTGGAAGCGTGAAACATATGTGTTCTCCATCACTTCTGCTGGGAAATTTTTCTCGGCTGATTTCTGGGTGTGAAGCTGTAGTTACCTCTGTATGCTTGGTCTTCTGCGCCGTTTCTGGAACACGAGCTGTATCGTTTTATCCTGCTGTCTACTCTGTAGCTCTCCGGAACAGAGATCCTGGACGCCATCGACAAGGAGGCGTCCGGGACCCTGAAGGACTGCTATGTCACTCTCGGTAGTTGTCACGCCAACATCTCATTTTCCCATGATCCTCGCCGAGCACGCCCCTTCCTGCCAGAATGATGCACACTTTTTGGACAAAAGCATTCATTATACTCCATTAACCCATGTGTGAGAGTATGAAAGTTAGCGTTGGTTCGTTATTTGGAGATTGACCCCCCTCACTGACCCCCCCACTGACACTCTTACAGACCCCTGTACTAACCCACTCACTAACCCCCCTCAATGACCCCCTCACCGACCCCCCCTTACTTCTGGGAAATCCCTACAGTGAGGTGTGCCAAGAGCCCGCAGCTGTTCTTCGCTCGACGCCTGAACGCTGCCATGAAGGGGGCGGGCACAGACGAGGACACCCTCATCCGCATCATCGCCGGCCGCTCCGAGGTATGGTGACCCCCTCATCAGACAGCGTTTGAGGAAGTTCTGCTTTGTAGTGGTTGTACTTATTATGGTTGTACCCAATCTTAGATTGACCTGGAGACCATCAAGGACTTGTATCTCGAGAAATATGATGTGTCCCTGAAGGATGCTCTGGAAGCGGAATGCAGCGGTGACTTCAAACGACTCCTCATAGCCATCCTCCACTGAAGGCCAATAGTGTGGCGCCCTCTAGTGGCAACCAACTGCCTCATTACTCCAGGATTCTGACTTATAACGCACCTGCTGCACTGGCCTTGAAAACACACATGGGTGGGAGTAGAATCTTCTGTTATGTTTAATTTTTAAACAAATAATCCTCTTCCTTTTCTGCAAATGACAAAGATCCAGATTTCAGCTTACTGTCCGAAAACTCCTTTAAAAAAATGTTGCCATTACTTCCTATCCTCTTACTTCCTGTTTCCTGTCTGACTACCACTGCTGTAACACAACCTTAGTGTCACAGAACTGCACACCATGCACGTGTCACTAAAGGGTGACCAGGCACTCGTTCAGATTTTCACCAGGTTATGCCAAGTTAATGGTGTTGCAGAGCACTCTGATCATTTCTTCACTGCCGACATCGCCTGTCATTTAGCAGCTAAAACTGATCGGGTTTGCATTCACGCCGATGACATCATCTTACCTCATCACCTTCATACGTAGTGCTTCCCCGCGAAAGGCAGCTCAGCACACATTTCACACCAGATTTTAAACTTTGTGCCATTTAATTTCAGTCTAAACAATTAATCTGTAGCATTTGTGTACATTATATATGCAATTGGGAACACTGTTAAGGCTCTTGAAACTATGATATAATATTACATTAAGGCACTGTGGTATTTAACATAATGTGGTTTTTAATGTAATTCCTCTTTATAGTGTTTTATGCTGCAGTTTTCTGGGATCATAACACTGGCTTTTTAAATGTGTTTTTTCCTGTAATATTGTTTTTATGCAAGACATCTGAATATCTAGGTGTACTTTTACTAAGCTGCTAGTGGTGTAAATTAAACGGAAATCTTACACCAGTCTGACATAGAGAGCAATCTGCAGGGAGGCGCGCGCATTGCAAGTTAACAAGCATGTGTATTGGGCCAGACTGATTTAGTCTGTATCGCCAAGTATAGCCAAAGATGTAAGGATATAACAAAACAAATAAAAACCTGATAAACGCAGCTTAAGATGTTGGGTGCTTCTGTACCTCCAGAGAATCACTATGATAATCCAGACAGATTCATTACCTACGTAGCTTCCTTTGGCGATAACGCTGCTTACTTACACAGTCGTATTACCGCGATATCTCAGCCACCAGATAATCTTAGTTTCGACACGCTCTGGTCGCTATTTTGCCTGTGCTAACCTCACACCCCACCCACCCAGCACCCGAGGAATGCGTTTGATATGCAAAAATGTGAAGCATGTGTATCATTCAGTCATGATCGACCCATATAAAAAAAAAAAACAATGCCTAACTTTTGTTACTACGCATCTAAAACTGCTATTTGAGGGTGGAGGTTTTTAATATAAGAATACATTTAGTTGTTTCCTTCTTTTGCAACAATAAAGGCTATTTTCAGAATTTTTTCCTCCATGGTAACATACGATTTATCCCTAAACTGTGATGCCCATTCCAGTACCACCTTCATTTATTTCCTGCCACATTACACTGGTATAAGAAATATCACATTTCCTTTAGAAAAATACATCTGCTTTTACATGGAGGGAAGTAATAATTCCGCGGTTAATCAAGCCTTCACGAGTATCTCATGTCAGATGAACCTCCGTTTACACTTAGTGCCATCTTTAGGTTGTCCACCAGGGGGAGATGTTGGACTGAAACACACTGCATTGAACGCTGTGTATTAATAGAAACGGAGCATCAGGATTGCAGCAGCTTAACCTAGAGCGCCCTCTAACAGAACAGACGGAATACTGCGGGAGGGGGCGTGGCCATCCCTGGAGGGACAGTCAGGTGACTTTGGTTGTTTGTGTCGGTTTATTTCGGGATTATACTGGAAGTGTTCTGCTTTTTTGGCCCAGTAAATCCAGCCTGACCCGGTTACCTGTCCAGAGTCCTTAGCTTTGTTCCACTACACACACCTGAGTCTAATATTATTTTTTATACTTTTTTAATGTCTCCAACCTGTGCTGAGGCCCAGTGGCTCATTTCCCCTTTATCATCAATTAAAATGTTCAAATAAATGAATCCTATAAAATGTATGTAAACGCATATTACAGCTGAAGATATTTTCATATCTGAAACATGGATCTTATACAGAGTCATGAAAAACTCAAGATTCTTCGCTGGAAGCAGCTCATACTGCAGGTTAATCACAACATTGAAAGCGATAAGCTAAAGAATTCATTAACCGGTAGCAGCTCCCAGTCTGTCATATAAAAATATTCATGCCTATATTCCCCTGGTACACTTCTAAAACCCCATTCCAAACCCAAAAATCAATCAGCTACTCAAGACCAGCTGAGCTTTATAGCATCGCCAACTGATGAGTCCCTGGGCTGGTAATTAATCGCCATGGAAACACAACAGCGTGCCCAAACTCAGTCCTGGGTTGCTGTGTCGCTTCCATTTGTTAGTATATGGGTGCTTTGAGAGACCTTCTACACGTTTAAAATGTTTTCGTCTCTCCCAGTGACCCTGCACTGGATACATGTTTGTAGGATGACTGGATGAATGTTTGTGAATGATTGCGAATGAATTTTTTTACACATTTTCTAGATACGGCATATTCTCCCAAGTACTAAACTTTCGTAGAGCGGGTTTGGGGAACTATCAGAAAAGATTATTGTAAAAACTCTGTTAGACTGGTGAAGAACTGTGGAAGCCCAAACGTGACCAAGAGATCATGGTGCTTCTGCTGTGCACCACTGACGTGATACAGACGGCCAGTTGAACCCCGACCCACCCCCCCCAAGCCCTTCTTTTCTCCTGTTGCCGGGGCAATTAAATGCTAATTTTCCCAATCCACACACTAAGGTGCATGAACGCATTTCATGCCAGACAAATACTACCATTATACAAGTGCGGTAACATCAACGGACAATGAGAGAATAGAGGTGCCATTTATTTGGAGAAAAACAGGACGAGGATAGATGCATGTACACCAGAAGGAACCCAACAGTATCTGGGGCAGTGATTGGATTACAGGACGGATAAAACAGCACCTGTCATATGTAATCACAGTATTATAGCATTTCATTTTTACAGTGTCTGTATGAGAACCGTGTGGGATGTCAGGTACAGTGTCTGAGGTCTAAGGTCTGCACTCTGCTCCAATTTAAGCACCAAATCAGAGCCAGCACTCTAGTATAAACACACCCACCCGGACACAGTGTCTTCTCACCACAAGTGAACAAATCAAAACATACGTCTCTGAATCGCCCTTAGTAAGCATATCCAGCTGGAGACTGCTATACTCTCCGGGACAGCCCCGGTCCCCTGCCCTGCAATTCCAGGGCTATCCTCCAGGGGTCACTGCATCCCAACACTGGACTTGACTAAATTTCCACACAAAGGTTTCAAACCAGGAATCAATGTTAAATAAGTAAATATAATCAAGAAAACAACACGTCAACAACTAAAACATAACAAAGGCATCAAAGTACATATATTCATTTAAAATATAGAGCAATAAAAATACATCCATATTGGTTTTTTGCTTTTATTCTGCAGTAGGCTGTCTGGTTTAAAGGGTTCATGGCACTAGGACTTACAGAATCACTTCATTTTGGCTGTAAACTTCTAGAATCTTCTCTGGACAACCTGGGTATAAATGGGAGGTGGGGGTCACAGCATATCTGTCTTTTCTGGGATTAAGTGCTTAAAACCACGTTCCGTATGAGAAGGTGGAGAAGCAGGAGATCCAGCCAGAAAGGCTGCGGCCACCTGTCTGACCTGCTGCTCGGGGCATCCGAGAGCTGGGGAGAGCCTCTGCGACCCGCCCCGCTGAGATTAAACCGAACCCAGCACCAGGGGGGCCAGACTCGAGGCAGGGAGAGAGGAAGCAGTGACGTTCAGCAATGGATCTCATAGGCGACCTGCGTGTCAAACAGCAAGCCCTGGTTCAGGAAGGTCCCATCAGGGTCGGCCTCCTCGCCCTCAGTCACCCCTCGCGGCTGCCCCCCTGCAGCAATCTCTGCCGCCTGGTCCTGGGGGGCCTGCTGACCATCGGGGAGGACCGGCCGGCTGCGGTTCAGCACGTACATCTCGTGGCCGCGTTCGTCACGGTATTCCTCTAACTGGGCGAAGGTGGTGGGCCCATCTGAGTAGTCATTGATGTAGAGGACACTCTCCTCTAGGGGGCGCCTGAGGCGCCGCTTCTGCTGGCTGTAGATCATGGCCACCAGCAGCAGGGCGGTGAGGGCCAGCAGGGAGATGCCCACGCCGATAGCGGCCTGCGTGGCCACGCCCAGTGCGCCGAAATCCATGCTCTCCAGGTCGTAGAGCGACTCTGGACTCACGCCCCCTGCTGCATAGGAGGAGCGAGAGCGATGGCCCCAGTAGGAGGAGGAGGAGGAGGAGGGAGGGGACGGTGCGGAGGACAGGTTGACGGAGAGGTGGAAGGTCACCCTGGCCACTCCCCCTGGGTTGGAGGCCTCGCACTCGTAGCGGCCGGCGTGTGCCACCGTGACGTTGCTGAGAAAGAGCATCCCGCTGCCTGTGTCGGGGTCAAAGCGCTCCCCTTCCTCGAGGGGCCCGCTCGTCCCGCCGGCCCCACCCACCCAGCTGGCCGGCTGGGCTGTGGTGACACCCCCCGGAGCCCCTGCTCCTGGCACCGGCACCTCCTGCACCAGCCCCTGGGGTGTGAGATGTGTGCGGCCCCGCGCCACCTTCCTCCAGATGACCTGCGGCTGGGGGTAGCCGACAGCCCGGCAGGACACGCGCAGGCTCTCCCCCAGCGGCACCGTCAGCCGGCTGGGCTCCAGCTGCACGCTGGGCGGGATGCACACCAGGCTGCTGGGCGGCACCTCGGAGAGGCCGCGGCGTGACAGGCGCGGAGGCTCTGCGCACACCAGGCGGCGCTCGGCCAAGCTCAGCAGCCGCCGGCCCTCCTCGTCCATCCAGCCGCGCAGCCAGTGGAGGGCGCAGTCACAGCGCCACGGGTTGTCTGAGGCGGGGGATTGGGGCATGGGGGAGGAGTGTGGTGGAAGGTTCCGGAAAGAGGACGGAAGTGAGAATCGATCAATTAAATCTATCTATCTGGATTGAGCCATTCTCAACAGACAGCATACAGACCCTGTGAGATACTGTAGATGATTAACCCTGGAGGACACGCCCCCTTTGGTAGCCCCGCCCTTCACCTGTGATACGCAGAACCTGCAGGCTGACCAGGGGATGGAGCGAGGCCTGGCTCAGGGTACGCAGGCTATTTCTGCTGAGGTCCAGTAGTGCCAGGGAGCCCAGACCCAGCATTGCTTGCTCCCCCAGCACCTCCAAGCTGTTCTCCTGCAGATGCAGCTCCTGGAGGCGCTGAAGAGGTGGAGGAAGTGATGTCATTTTAATTCCAGTCTACCATTGGACCCGCCCACTTATGAGACCCCGCCCCCCAATCTCCCCAGGCTGCTCCTCCATGCTGCCATCCCCCATGCGCCACCTGGAGGCCGCGGAAGGTGAAGTCCTGCAGCCGCGTGATCTGGTTCCCGGCCAGGTAGAGGACACGCAGGTGCGACAGGCCTTCGAGCACGTCGGCGCTCAGCAGGTGGATGCGGTTGCCGTTGAGCGCCAGCTCCAACAGCCGGCCCTGGCTGCGGAAGGCGCCCGGATCCAACACCGAGATGCCATTGTTCTGGAGGTACAGGTACAGCAGACTGCCGAGCTGGGACAGGTCATGCTGATGCACCTGGCCAATGGCGTTGTCCTGAAGGAATACGGTCTGTACGCGGCGGGGGAGGGGCAGATTAGTGCCAGGCATGTATCTGCCTGACCCACTCACAGGTGTTGCGGCATGTCCATCAAAATTCAGGCCACACATGATAGGACATCCACGGCTACCCAAAGAGTTTCTAAATCAGGGTCAGAAGCTGCTAGGGTCGAATCCCCACTCAACCACTAGGGGGCAGAGGGGAGGTTGCTAAGCTTTTGTTAAAATGCATGGCAGTGGGGTCAGACCCTTACAAGTGATCCAAAGGTCAGCATCAATCTACAATGAAGCTTTACATTGCTTACATAGTGCCCCCTGTGTGTCTGATATTTAACAACATTAAACAACATCCAATGTAGCCTAATGACCACTGGTCTCTTTCATAAGGATCAGGCAAGTAAAAGAGGCAGACTGTTGATCTGCATGGCGGTGGATGCGGCCAGTGGGTCGATCCATATGGGGGTCCCTGTGTTAATATTCAAGAAATATAAGCACGTAACCCTCTGACCTAAAGAGAGATGGGCGCTTCATAAGAGGGGAATAGAAGGCGCTGATAAAACGAGTTGGGATCCCAGGATGAATTAAACATGGGCTCTAAGAGTTAGACGTGATGCACTAAAGCCTGAACGTTGCCAAGGAGCAAATGCTCCTGGCTGATGCTGGTTGATGTCGTTGACAGACCCCAGTCACGGCTATAGCGCCATCAAATCCAAAGTGCATAATGAAAGCAGTTGATGCACTGGCATATCCTATAAGCAGACGGAGGAAAATATATTAAATACTATAAATTCTAATGCTCAGTGGGGTTTTCCAGTTTCAGCCCTTGCTTAATTTGAGCACACTCCCCAAGTAGCTGGCCTGCTCTAGCCTGCTGGCAATTCAGTCAGATTTCTTACACCATCAGATTGGATAATGAAAAGCCTATCAGAAGTGTGGCCGGACTGTGACTCCTCAGGTGAAGCAAGACTCTGATTGGACTGCGACATGGGAGCCAGACCTGTGTACTGGGTGGTACACCCTCGGGGATGTCACGTAGCCCGATGGAGCCGCACTCCACGGTCAGGCTGTAGCAGCGGCAGCGACTAGGGCAGGCCTGCGCCGTCAGGGCCAGGAGACCGAGGAGAAAGAGGGAGATCTGGGGAGGAGCCATGACGGCCAGGCTGGGGTCCTGGGAGGGGAGAAACAGGAAACAGAGAGACAAGGTGGGGAAAGAGGAAACAGAGAAACACGGCAGGAAAATGAAGACAAAACGGGGAAACAGGAGATAGAGAAACATGGCAGGGAAACAGGAAAAAGAGAGACATGGAGGAAAACAGGAAACATGTCAGAAAAACAGAGGCATGGCGGGGAAACAGGAAACAGAGAGACATGGCGGGGAAACAGGAAACAGAGAGGCATGGCGGGGAATAAGGAAACAAAGAGGCATGGCGGAGATACAGGAAACAAATTAAGGTCACAGACTAGATCTTAAGAAAAAGTGTAATTAATATTTCATTGAATGCACTCCATGCAAGGTATATATCAGACACGCACTTTAAAAATGCAAGAAGCCATTACCTGTATACTCAAGGCCGTTAATTAAGAGCAGGACAGTTACCTGGCTCAGCTGTGTAGGGTAGGGGGAGGAATGGAGTAAAAATGTGGACTGGCCCAAGAGCCACTGACGTGAGGGATCTGACACTCCCCATGCAGCTGGCCTGCTCTAGCCTGTTGGCAAAGTGTCGCCCCCTACAGACCCGAGGGCAGAAATAGAAGAAGAGTCTTCGTGGGACACAGAGCAGATGGAGCAATCTGCCCCCCCCAGCTCTGGGCCAACAGGACACCCTACACTGCTCCATGGTCTGTAGACCATTTAATAATGCACCATAACAGCTGACAGAATCGCAACATACAAACGCCATGGGCACAGAATCTGCTCCACGCAACAGAAACGTCTCTGTCTTGTTGGGAGGACTGTCACTGACCACGTTCACATGACAGCGAGGCCAAGATGGACCAAGGTCAGGCTTCTGGGTGCTTACAGCTCGGCGGCACGAGGCTCCAATAATTCAGTAAACATCTGGCTGAAGATTCGCAGGCGTCTGATAGCATGATTATCTCTGTTTTGGTGAAGTAAAGGACGCACAGCACTGAGCTCGGTGACTTTCAAATGCCCTCGGACACAGAGGAAAACACACACAAACCTTCCTACGTGACTGAAAAGGGAGTCTGAGCTGATCCGGGGTGGGGGGGCGATGTGTGGCTCAGGCCAATGTGCCTGTGTTCGGAAGGTCATCAGTTTGAATCCCAGGCTCTCTGCTCCAGGGAGGCGGCGGATGAATGGACTGGCCTTGAGCTCAGATCCCAAGCTTCACTGTCACATCTATATGTGTGTGTGTCTTTAAGGGAGTTTGGTGGGATTTGCAAAAAAAAAAAACATTTCAATGTATCCTGTTCTTGTACAACTGGCAAATACAGCATCATTTAATTTCAGAGTGCTCTGCTCAACACTGACTCTACACTCCACAGTTCCTGGTGACATATAATCCTGTGAGAAATGAACGGTAACCCCTTAAATCACCCTGAAACGTGTCACCCATATAAGGCCTTGTATACTGTGTGCAGAATTATTAGCTGTTTTTTCCTTGTATCTTGTCTTCCGACCAATAGTTTCAGTCAAAATTAATCTCCAATTCAGAATGCACTGCTAAAGAATGGAGAATGCTCAGTCGGAATACTTACTGTTTGGAGTAAAACAGGAAACTGCAGAATTATTAAGCAAATTATTACTACTATTAAAATGGGTCAATAAAGGACCCTATTGAGAACGGGGAAAAAAATAAAACAGCGAAGTGCCAGGCACAGCGAAGGGAAACAATCAAAACTGCTGAACTGCCAAACTTTTAAAACGTGATCACTGTACAATTGAGTGTTTTGTGGCCAACAGCCAAAGAAGATGGAAGACGTGTGTGTAGCGAAGAAGACACAAATTAACTGCCAAAGATATGTGCCAAATTAAAGGGGAAAATTACAGAATCTCTTTAGAATCAAATGCCACCGTTTTTCAAAACTGCAATCTGAATGGAATCTCTGTAAGTACTATGTCAGGGGTGGCCAGTCTTATCCAGATAGAGCTGTTGGTTATGTGGGTTTCCATTGCAAATCCCTAATTAGATTACTAATGAGAGGACTGGTCGGCTGAAGAGTCCTCGCACGCGGGTTTGAGTAGCTGATCTAAAGGTCACCCCAAAAACCTGCACATAGACTGGCCCTTTGCAAATAAGACTGCCCACCTACATACTAGGTGCAGTGTGCTGCATGACATACGAAGGTCACAGAGGCCGAAACATGACCTCAACCCAATACGGAGCACAAGCTAAAACGTCAAGAACGGGGACGGACACGTCTCAAGGCTAATTTCACAAGGTTTTTGTCAACAGATGAGATGAGAGTGAGTCCTGCTGGAGCAGATGGACCGGCCAGTGGATGGACATCATCTAGTGGATGGACATCATCTTCAAGCACCAACAAGGTGCTGGAGAAGTGACGGTGTGGGCCGCAATTATCAATCATGAACATCTTAGACCAGCGGTGGCCAATCATATCCGCAAAGGGCCGGTGTGTTTGCAGGTCTTTGGGATAACCTGTAGGTCAGCTGTTCAAACCCAGGTGTGAGGACTCTTCAGCCAATCAGTCCTCTAATTAGTAATATAATTAGGGAGCTGCAGCGAAAACCCGCATACGCGCCGGCCCTGTGCGGATGAGATTGGCCACCCCTGTCTTAGACCTTTCCAATGTGCAGATGGTATAAAAACGAACCACAAGATCTACTGCCAGGTTCTAGAAAACACCGTCTTCAAACACTGGCTCAAGAAGAAGTCAGCAAACTTTCTAAAAGGTTATGATATTCATGCAGGACAATGCCCCTTCCCATGCATCAAAGTATTGCATAGATTGGCCAAGAAAGGCTTGAAAGGTGAATGAGTTATGACCTGCCCCCCCTTCATCGCCTAACTGAACCCCCATCGAGAATTACTGGGCCTTATTAAGGTGTGAGATTAACCAATGTAGTGGACAGTACACTTCTCAGAGCAGCATTGGGGAGGCTGTCCAAGCTGCCTCAACTAATACAGGACATGATCAAATCAAAAACCTGACTAGTTCAATGGACAACAGGGTAAAGATGGTCAATGAGAAGAAAATGGCTATACAGGACATTAAACTTGGTAAAGTGGATTCTATAGGACGGCCAATAGTTTGTTATTCCTAATTTAGATTAGCTTCCTATTGGCCAATAATTGTGCACACTGATGTGTGTTTCTTTTATTTTTGTTTATGACAGATTAATGTAACATTTTGACTGAAAAATAAATTTACTTGAAGCAAAAGAACACTTCTGAATCCACTTTTATAATTCTGCTTACAATTACCCAAAGGAGAAGTATTTGCCTAAATAAATCTGCACACAGTGTATAAATAAAGGTATTTTGGTACCTATGTATTGGTAACATGACCCTTGTCTGTTTAAAAATGTGAGAGCACCCTTTTGAAGTCAAGCCTGCTGAGATACTGCAGATCCCACACAGACTGCTGTGTTGGGATAAAGCATTTCTGAATGGCTTACATCCATCCATCAGTCCACGGCAGGACACGGGTTCACACACACTGTGACACAGAGTGACCAGTTCACCTAATCACCATGTTATGGGCTATTAAACTTAAGACTTAAATTAACACCAGCAGCCATCTACCAGCTGTTCTTTTAAAAATAAAATGAAATGGCACAGACCCCTTGAATCTTTTTTTTTTGGGGGGGGGGGGGGGGCAGAAACACATCAAATGTAAATTTATGGCGGACTGATGCAGATGCAGAAGTGTTACAAAATATCTGGTATGATAAAGGAGAGAGTGTTTGCTGCAGGAGAAGGACGAGCGGTTTAACACAGACAGGAACGGTGTGTGTGCAAAGAGCTGTTATGTAAGCGACCCTGACTTAATATTATTCAGCTAGCCAGCCCTTTGAAACTGCCATTAGAGTTATTGCTTCTCCTCGCCTGTAGGGGGCGAGACCACTCTGTCCCAGAGCCTGTACGACCAGTGCTTTAAGCTCCATCAGAAGGATCCCTTGACACAAATCTCAAGTGAAGATCTGCGTGTGGTTAGGAGGCCCATCCGTTTCAACAAGGGTTCAATAAGGGTAGTTATGCTACCAGGAAGCTGTAAGACTATTTAGAGCCTTGGGGAGAGGTCAAAGGTCAATGAGCTGAATCATGTGACCATCCTGGCAGACCGCCACCTGTGCGACACACACATCTTCATCTGTTTCTCTGTAACGAGAAACATAGTTGTTTGCATTAATTGATGCAGCTTTTTTTTTGGCACAATAGCCACAATGGAGGGCGACACAGTGCCAGGGGTTAGCACTGTAGGATCAATGTTCCAGGGCTGGGGATCTGAGTATCTCTTCCGCTCTGTGTGTGTGGAGCTTGTATTCTCTCACTGTTTGCTCACACAGTCACAGACATGCAAGTAGGCTAACAGGAGCGAGTGCCCAATGGTTATGTTGGTATGTGTCCTGCAAAGGACTGGCCTCTTGTCCAGGGTGTACCCCAGGCTTGGGGTCTGTGCTGCCTGTCCAGGACACGAAGAATGTATGTACGTATGGATGGATGGATGGATGGATGAAGCATTGCTTTATTAACAAAGGAACTGGGACAAAACTGTGGAAGCTTTAGGAGAAATAAACACATCCTGCATCTTTACTTTTATTTCATTGTATTTTATAAGACCACAACAAACTAACAACTGCTTAATTCAGATTGCGACCTTTGTTTCGGGATTGTGGGCCAGGGGTTGTTCGTTTGAGCGAATATAAAGAAGGCAACAACCAAACGAGCCAGTCTCCCAGGTCCCCGGGAAACTGTACTCAGTGCTCACATACACGTCTGATCATGTCCGTTACACATTCATCAAGTACCGCTGATGTGCTGCTTGCACATCAAGACTTACCTTACCAAGCGCCTGTTTATAGACTTAAAGTTGCAAAAAGTTTAAAATTATTACACGTCACATATTCACGAAAGCCTTTCCCTTCACAGATTACGAGATAAATTACACTTTAATAATAAATACATATATTTGAAAAACACCGCGACACGATGATTGATGTCAGTGAATGCACAGCACGGGCATCCATAACCTTTTTTTTCCATTAATAAGTCAATCATTTCGGTTTCCTACATGCAGTATTGTACTTGTGTGTGGAGGGGGGCGAACGGCGCTATAAAGTGAAAATGCGCTCAGCTTAATGTCATATTCGTGATATAAAAGCGGCGACACGTTACCCACCTGTCAGTGAAGCAGACGGCCGATCCTCTTCTTAATCCTGGTAAAGGGGATAAAAGGGGCCCGATCGCTCAGATCCATGCAGGCTGGGCTGGGAAGAGGCACAGAAACAGACCTCCTCCGGTTGTATTTTCCATCCGGTTTAACGGATCGTAATCCCGACAAATGACAAGAAATAACACGAAATCGCGGCGCTAAACCGGCTCCAGGCAGCGGACTGTCATCAGATCGTGGGGCAGGCGGCGCTTTATTCGCCTCATCTCCTTCCCGCAGACCTCCCTCATCATGTGCCGTCCCACTCCCCTCCTTCACCCACCCCGGTCTCTCCTCTCCCCTCCTAAACCCCGTTAAACACCGTCTCCGATCACAGCCTTCAACACACATCGGCGTACGTCCTATTTAACGTATTTTTAACGGCTGTTTTCTAATCCGATTTATGAATTTTCCAACTAGGTGGCACATTTCATTCTTGTGCAATTATTACACAAACATTCTCATTTTGTCCCACTTCGTGTGACTTCCTCCCGCTATCATGTGGGTCTACCCCTTACAATTAATTTTAAACACGATTGTAGCCTACTAGGTTTTTAGTCGTTAATCGTTCATTCATGTTTGTAAAGAAAATGCTGAAATGCAAACACGAGGTAACCAAGAAAAAAACCTACAAATCACAGACACATTAATTTTCTTTTTATATATAAACTGGAACTCTCTTGCGATTCTGGTAACTTACTGTGTATACTACCTTCCTGGAATTGTTCGCAAATAACTTCAGTCAAGGGCAAAATCATTTTTCCCTGGAATTCCAATCAACAAAACAAAAACATGAATTCTTATTGCCAAGGATTTTTCAGTTAGGGGTTTGTGGATCATCAGTGTTCCTTGGGCTATTGCTTTCTTAGGGAGTGCTTAAACAGATGCTCAAGGTCTGCCTTTGTCCAGTCTAACGGGGACGGTAAATCCACAGCACCATTCAGGAGCAGCGACACAGACGTGATGCTAGTGATTCTGGGAGCCGTTGGCGAAACAACTCCATGGGTCCCTGCAGCATACCCCCCACACCACCCCCACATAGCAGAATACACACAAAAAAGCAGATGTGTCATTGCAATGTACTATGTAATTCTCCGCCCTCGGGGGCCCCCTCCCAGCTCGGGGACCCCGCCCATCTCGGGGGCCCAGGCAATTGCCTGCCTTGCCTGTCCTGTAGCTATGCTTCAGGTGACACATACCTTTAACTTCGTAATTAAAGAGTCAAGCCTGTACTGTATTCAGGAGCTATAGCTTTAGCTAAATATTTATCCATCCATCCATCTTCCAATTACTCATCTAACGTATTCCAGGAAGCCCAGGGCGGAATACTAAGAATGATTCAGAAACTCAGATCGCCATGGGAGGAAACTGGAGTACTAGGAGGAACCCCTGTACTACACAGGTACGACACGCGGGCGACACGGATGGAGATGGGATTCGAACCTCCAACCCTGGATGTGTGAGGCTGGGCTAAACAAAAATATCAAAACAGCATTAAGATGATATTAAGTGTATAATCACCCTCTAGTTTCCATTTTCCTCAGCTGTGAAGTTGTATTTTATTACTGTTTCCCTAGGAATCAAATTTGATGGCGAGAAAAAAACATTGTGTCATAAAAAGTGACATTGACTGAACTGAGCAGAATGCATAAGGAGTGCATGAAGGGACTCTGTCTAGTTATCTGCCTTCCTCAAAGAGCACATGACACTTGAGTGACCCTTGGGAGTTGGTGTGAATGTTAATTGGACTTTAATGCAGAACATGAGGAGATTAGAGGAAGTGGATCTGCTCTTGGAAGATCATATCCCATAATCCCGCAGTGCTCCTCAGACTCCCCTGTCTACTGCTGTGGGCACCAGGGTGACACAGGTGACATCATGACTCCAGGGTGGTACCCAGATGACCTTGACTTTTAATCTCGTTGTGGCCATATTGAGTCTTCGAGATACATAGAGTGCGCTTTTTCTGACTGTACCATCACTTAAACTGTTTCATTTAATAATTGCATTAATGGTGAGTTATGAAAGATTTCAGGTCAAGTAAAATACCTTCTGAAATCAAGAACTCTTAAGTTGTGTGATGGAGATCATTTTCCAAGCCTGGGGAGAAATTCTGCCTTTCTAAGGTGTCCATCTTAGGGAAACGATCTCATGGTGTCAGGCAGAATGAATTAACATGGACCCTATATTTCACGTCACCATGGCAATAGGAGTTCCTTTCCATTTGTATTCTTCTGATGGGTGATCTGACGTCTTCATTCCTCTCATCATATCCATGGCCTCTCTCGCTTTTGACGGTTCTCTTAATGGGAACGTGAGCCACATCACACTCTTACTGTACGCAAAGAAGGCTCTTCAGCAGTTCTGATTAGTGTAATTTAGGTCAGGTGGGATGCGGGGGCGAGCCGGGGGAGCCCTCAGCAAACAGGAGGCCTGTGTGGAGCGTTAGACTCCAAGCCTGCGTGTGCTCACCCAGTGCCGGTCAAGCCATGGGTGGCTAACTAGGGCGTCATGTTCGGGGGGGCACTGACTTAGCGAGTCAGTTTCACTTTGGTTCAGACAGGGGGCGCCACACAGGCTTCGACTGATACGGCACACACACCCACACAGTTTTAGAGACACACAGATGCAGATGCAGCTACAGAGGATCGGCTGTTACGAGATGAGAGTATGTTTTTTTCTTCTTCTCGCTACTAAATTCTCTATTAACGTTTGGCATTCTATCTGAAGTGGAGATAGAAAGAGAGAGACACGGCATGTCTTTGAGGGGGTCACAGTGCAGTAGGAAAGGAGAGGAGAGCTATTGTCTATGACAAGGAGCCCTTTTTGGCAGAATTCTGCTCCTGCACTGTCGGTCCGTCAGCAGCTGTGTCTAAAAGGGACTTCAAAACGTAGCTGATGGAACAGATGGAAATTTCACCGAAGCAAAGATTAGTTTACTCAACGGTCCAACAGCGCTTCCTTTAAGGTCCAAGCTCTTTTCTTTAGCCACAATAGTCGCGGCTGTGCCTGTAGAGTTCTTAGCAGTTATGGAGATATGGGAGGGATTATGCCAATTATCTGCTCGCTCCCCCACCCAGCAACCAATGGGAACTCGGCTGTTAAATAGGATGAGCATCGCACAATAAAGGGGATCCATAAACAGGAGAGTACAGACTCAGACACATACTACTGAGTACAGACAGAGACACACAAACACACATACAGCATTAAACATAGTGCAGCTACCTTGAATATCTAAACGAGCCCCTGTAAAATTAGCATGTTGTTGTTATTATTGTCATTATTGTCAACAGCCACCAGGGGTCTCTGCCAGATTCCCATCTCATCTGGTACCTGCATTTTTGGGGCTGTTGGTACATGAACCACTCAGGTTGATCTCTAGGTCTGATGAGAGCGTGGAGTCAGTCTGAGAACGTGCCACACAGGCCCTGGATCGAACTGTGCCATGCCAGTCCCGCCCACAGCTGTCCTGTGCCTACACGTCGCCCCCTGTTGGCTACAAGCAGTCACAATACGAAATATTAAATAAAGCCTTCTGACTTTTGTTTGTGAGACCCAAGGAAAAAACAAACTCAGCCCTACTCACACATCCCCACTCACTGCGGAGGCAGGACGTTTTTACCAAAGGACTCTAACACTGTGATACTACAGGGACACACCTTGAATTTTGTCCTACTGCTGGATCCATCTCTTTCAGAAGCCTTTTCCAGAGGATGTAAAATGCCTTCCTATTTACAATAAGATCACAGAGATCACACTGGTATGAAATATGGCCTCTCGTCTTACATTCAGCCTTCGTGCAAGGACAGTGACCTGTTTGTTTGGATTCAGCTTGTCCTTGATGCATTTCACAGCTACACACCACAATTAGATTGGATGAATGAGTCTTTTGCCCCTGATTGGCTGAGATCCTATGTGCATAGATGTATAGATGGACTGTGAATCGAAGGATGACTTAGGGGGCAACAAGCTTTTAAAGCCACACCCATCTAGAGATAGTCCAATCAGCATACTTCAAGGTGAAAGGTGAAACAAAACAGGACCACAGAAAACTTAAATGAAAACCCTCATCCAGTTATAGCATGTATTTTCCCATACCTGCTTTATATCATTAGACACCAAGAGACCTGGAATAGAACACAGATTATTCGAAATTATTACATAGTCACATGACCAAATTATGGGAAGGTGGAAAAAAACTCATCTAAGAGCTGTTGAAAGCCCCCTGGATTTCACATGAAATTAAGAGGATGGATTGAAGGCAGATTAGAGATGTGGCATGTTTCCGAACTGAATGTTATATCAAATTTTAAAGGTGAATCTGATGTTTGTGTGCAGATGGCATGTTTAGAGTTCTCAAAAGATCTCCAGTGATGCATCAATGAGATCATAGCCCAGAGCAATACCCTAAGGCATGCAGCAGATGCATAGAGAAATTAGGGGGGGGGGGTCTCTCTCTCTCTCTCACACACACACACACCTCTGATCCTGAATCCATATTCAAACCAGTTATTTGATTATGGTGTATTTTCAGAGAACCTGTCAACCTGATAACTACCTTACTGGCCACGGGGCAGGATTTAAAGAATCCCAGCTTTTCCCTCAACTTAATAAAAATAAGATTAGTGCCTTTCTACGTCTGGCGCTTTACTAGAAAAAGAGAGGGGGCGCCATCTAGTGTCATAAAACTGTAAGTAAGCTAAATAAGGAATATGGATGGCTGTGTCATGAACTGGGATGGTTCTGGCACGAGGGCGGGACATCGTGCAGGTGGGGAAAGGAGGTGACGATCCACTGGCAGCTCACAGGAACACAGGGGTTTATTGACAGAACTGAAAATGCTGGGAACACTATAAAACAAACGGACCACGAGGGGTCAAAAAGCAAAATGGGAAAAACAATGACTAACTACAAAAGGTCAGGGCAACAGGGAGCAGGCAGGGAACAAAATACAAAAATTAAACAACATAGGGGACCATCTAACAGTCTTAAACATACCTACTGAAATGCACATGGAATACAACAATGACCCAGTAGGGAACTGAACTAAAGCGGGAACATTTATAGAGAAACTGAACCAGGTAATGATGCAGCAGGAGTAACAAATGAAACAATTAACCAATCAGGGTAGAACACAGAAGGACTGGCACAAGAAAACAGGCAACAGGTGAAACGACTAATTAAATCAAGAAACTCAAACTTAACAGAGAAACTAAGAAACAGAATCTAACACTAGGGGAATAACAAAGACAGGTAAAACACAACCACGGGCACAAAGCAAAAAAACGAAACCGAATACAAGTTACAAAACACAGGAACTAGGAGACTGATACAAATGAAACACTAAAGAACAAAATCTTCAAAAAATACAAATACAGAGGAGGCAGGATTTTTTTCTAACACACAACAGAGGGGTTTAGTGACTGCACACTCAGCTCACTGGGCCATGCGGCAGTCTGGGGAGCAGGGGAAACACACTAAGGACTTTGACAACGAGGACAGGATGGCCAGCGACACCTGCTGGCCAAACGGGAAGAGAACACAAAAGAGTCCGCCAGAGGGGTGCTGAGCCTGACAGGCTGGTCGTAAAGTTATCCGTTATCTCTGGTAACTAGTGAATACACGAGATCACTTACATGTTAAACAGAACCCAAAAGGTTTCAGTTCAACAATCTGGAAATATGAGTGTGTGACTGTCTCTATAATCTGCAGGATTTCACTATTATTATTATTAATAATAATAATATGAATTTATTACATATATAGGCCTATATATATTAAAGATCATAATCCTTTCGGGATAGGCCCCGGACCAGCACCCCGGCCCGAGTCTGCAGAAGTATAGAAAATGGATGGATGGATAATAAAACTTTCTTCTCACGTGGAAAGGACACCGGCCAATACACACTCCGCGTCAGAAGGTGGTGCTGCAGAGACTCACCGGCATCGGAACACTAGGATGACGTGCCGAAGAAGGAGGCTTGCGGCAGCCCGACCGGCAGACGGGATCAAACGAGCGTGTGAGTTGCTTTGGGGGACTGTGTGTGTACACGTCTCTAAAAAGCTCCCCACGGATGATTATTATATTACTATAATTATATCATCATCATTATATTATCGTTTTATATCATTTTTGTCACCTCGACCATTTCTGAGCTCAGGTGCTGAATCACTGTCCGCGTTCTCTACGCGAATTTCAGAATATAGTTTCAGAATTTTCTTCTTAATTTTCCGGTATCGGTAAACGCTCGAATGCATAATCCGGCGACCTGCAGTGTGTCTGTCGGGTTGCCGGTGCTGCGATCCGTGCATTACAGGCTTTTGGAAATGTGTTCTGTCATTCAATCATACCCAGCAAATCGTCCCTCCGATTGCTATTGCGCATGTGCACATGCCATCTACTTGATTTTCGTTTCTAAATCTTGCAGAAGTTGTAAGCATCGTATATTTTCCTTAAGCTTTTATGGTTAACTCATTTTTTCCACTTTTTTCCCATTGTATAAAGGCATATTACTGTTCATTGAATAATTTACTGTTAAACTCTGCCTTTTACTATATATATTCATACTTTTAGAAATAAAGGCCACTTCGCGCTTGAACTGCCTGAACTGGCATGGTTTCTATGGTTATAGTGAATTTAACTTTTTAAGCCGTTTATACGGAGACAGATAACATATGCCGTGTATCTTAAGTATTCATAGGTAATTCGTGCTACTAAAATATCCTACCTATTATGTATTGAACTGGTAGCATGTGATTCGATCGATATTACTATTATTAAGCGCTACTGTAGGGTCCTGGGACTCATACGGTACCGGTGCGTCATCCGCCTAGAAACAAAGGGTTACTGGGCCGGATCTCGGCTACACGGGAAACAGAACTCGCTCGTTTTCTTTTTCACCTCCCCAGCGATTAAGAGAGATGAGTTGATGGGGGATCTGTCCTAAAACGGCGCACAAGGCACAGTGCCAGTGTTTCTAAGGGCGTAGGAACCAGCAGAGAGGACGCATACCCCGGATATTTAATTCGGTTTCATTCGTCTCACCTACAAATAAACCTTTACCTTTATATTAAGTGGCGTCCCACCCCTACGCCCTTCGGTGTGTCAGACATTACTAGGCATGATCTGACGTTTCCCTTTGAGCCTCATTCTGTAGGCGTGTGCTTGCGCGTGAGAATCCAGTTCTTGCTGTGCGTTATCGTACTTTAACTCTTAACTGTTACCGCGTACATCTGTTCGGCACGTGCCATCACGACTGGCTAATTCCCACCCGTCTCCCTTTCAGACCAATGCTGCTGTGGGTGCTGTCCGGACTCTTGCTGCTCTTCTGCAGCCTGGACGTCTGGTACTTCCTCCGGGGGGCTGTAACGGTGCTCCGCGCCTGGCTCCAAGGTCCCGTCTGGGACATCCTGGCTGAGCAGAGCGTTCGTGGCCGGGTCCTTCTCCAGGATGTCGACTTCATGGGCCACATGAACAACGGCAGGTACCTGCGGGAATGTGACTTTGCCCGCTTCGCCCACTACACGCGGAATGGCCTCATGAAGGGCACGCGGGCGCTGGGCGCCAACATGGTAGTGGGGGCCTCCACCATCCGCTACCGGCGCTCCCTGCGACTGGGCGAGGCCTTCGAGCTGCGCAGCCGCATCGTGAGCTGGGACGATAAGGCCTTCTTTGTGGAGCAGCGCTTCGTCTCCTGCGCAGACGGCTTCGTCGCCGCAGTCATGTTCTGCAGGCAGAACGTCCTGCGCAGCAGCCCAGACAAGGTCCTGCAGTTCCTGTGCAAGAGGAAGGTGAGAGGCTCCGGAGGGCCACCAGGCCCCGGGTTCGAACCTGCATCTCGCTGACGCCCTGTGTGTGCCTGTCTGTGCAGGTGGAGTGTCCAGAGGTCCCAGAAGACCTGCAGCACTGGATGAACTACATCAAATCCAGCAGTGAGGGCCTGAGGGCGGAGAATGACCTGGAGAAAAGCAAATGAGGGGGGGGACCAGGCTGGGGGGGAGGGGGTGTGATTGCCTAATATTTATTGTAACACACATCACCAGAATCTGTTATTACCCATCTGGAAGTTTGAGATGTTCAGAGTCATGTGACCATAGCTGGAGAAACAAGATGTATGTTAAAAGAAGCCAGCAGCTGTGTGAAAATATCAACAGCTCTGTACTGCACTGCATGATGAAAGCCCCCCCCCTAAGAAATCAGCTGTGTAATACTGCATGTTCAGGTGGGGGTTAATTGATTCTTCTTAATTGAACCAAAGTACTGCACAGCCACCGATGTCCGTTAGATCAAACGCATATCTGTCCGTATGATGCTGCACATCTGTAACCCTGCTTGGCGTTTAGCTGTAGCTACGCTGCTTTATTTTAAGACGCCGAAGTTGGACTGTTTAACTGTGATGCTGAAGAATTACCCACAAGACACAGTCACCTCTCTGTTCACAGTGGTACTGTGCTGTGATTGAGGGAACACTGGCTGGGGGGAAGACTGGACCCCACAGTTTTGTAGGCACTGAACCCAGAAAATGCACTATGCAGCATCTGAGTAGTATCCTAATTAAATTGGTATTTAATTAAGGAGATTGAGGTGGGCAAAGGGAACATTCTTCTGTTTATATACTGTCAATAACCTTGCAGGTTCTAATTCTTTGAATGCGGAGGGTCTCTTCAATGCATGTATCTATTTTAATTTGAGCGCACATTTGAAGACCATTGAATGGATTGTGTGTGTTATTTAAAGCATTTTAATGGAGTCTGTTGTTGGTTTATCACCACCAATTCAACACGGTATCACAACGATACATACAGCGAGCCCCAACCCGTCGGTTTGCACACAAATGGTCAAGAAGATAAATCATGACCAAAGAGTAGATGCCTACAAAAATACTACAAAGCTTCAAGAGAGCTTTTAAACTTGTGACCACTGTCCAGCTTTTAAGCGTCCATTGTGAATTCATGACACCGTAAATATTTGATGTGAACACAATATGGCCAAGAACATGATTTTCCATGACATACACATGGGTGTGATCTGTGCACCGGCTGCATTTTTAATGAGATCGGACAGAGGGTAGTTACCTTCAGTCTAAATGCCTCTAATAGAGGTGACACAAAGGGAAGTCACGGACCTCACCAAAAGTGACATATCTGGACCTGACTGTGGGTGCTGGGGGAGGTATGAAATAATGAGGAAAAACTGCAAGAATTTGCCGCTGATTTGAGGCTGATTTATTGGTAACCGTGACTCACAGCAGTAGATACAGTGATGGTCGGGTGGGTGGGGACAGGGGGATTGGGTTAGATCTTGTTGAAAGCAGCAACATCCACGCTCTGGACCTGAAAGCAGGAAACGTCAGGTCGGTGATGGTTGTCATGACAACACCATTCAGCAGAATTAACGACTACAGATGACCAAGGTCATTTCTGAAGTCAGTGGGTTTAGATACCTCTGCAGTACCAAAGATAGGTCTGGCTTAGAGGGTCACCTTTAGATGAGGCTGCAGAAATGTCTGCTAATGACTCAATCAAAAGGTTCATTTTGTTATATCGAAGCTTGTACTACATTTCCCATGAATCCTCAGTGCTATGAGCAGTATCTCAGAGGACTGAGAAATACTTATTTCAGCAATGTGGCATCAGCAGGATGAGAAACACTAGCACTTTTAGTGCAGACTCCCTGAACAGTAAGCATAGGAATCTCAGAAGTCTGCCGCCCTGCTGGCAGCGAAGGGCGGCGCGGTGCACTCACGTAGTCCTCGAATTTGGTGATCTCCTCTTCCAGCATGTCGGTGCCGACCTTGTCGTCCTCCACCACGCACTGGATCTGCAGCTTCTTGATGCCGTAGCCCACGGGCACCAGCTTGGAGGTGCCCCACAGGAGGCCGTCGGCCTGCACCGAGCGCACGCACTCTTCCAGCTTGGCCATGTCCGTCTCGTCGTCCCACTAGGGGGCAACAGAGTCGGGATGCTACCTCACTTGACGTACAATTCAGTCTCAAAACAAATGCATCTGCTAAAGGGGTTTACTGTAAATGAAAGGTGCGGTGCAATGACACCGGGGGGGGGGGGGGGGGGGGGCGCGGAACTCACGGGCTTAACGTCCAGCAAGATGGAGGATTTGGCGATGATGGTGGGCTTCTTGGCCTTCCTCTCAGTGTACTCCTTGACTCGCTGCTCCCGGATGCGCTCCGCCTCTGCGTCTTCCTCCTCTTCGCTGCCAAACAGGTCGAGGTCGTCGTCCTCCTCCTCCACCGGGGCCCGCTCTTTGGGCTGCTGGACAAAGAACAGGGAGGGACACGTCTGTGAGCAGTGTGCAAGGTGTGGGTGGGTTTACTGACCTGTCAATCATTTACTTAAACCAATCAAAAGCTGTAAAGAGAAACCTTCCCACTCAAATCATTTGAAGTCAATTGAAACTTCATTTCTTTCCTGACCATCAGCTCAACACAACAGTTTGATCAAACACCATCTGTTTGCTGCTGAATGGACCTGGCCTTGCATGTACCAGTCCCGTCAGAATTGGATGTCAAATTGATTAAAAGGGATCAAAGGGTTTAATTTAACAAGACTGATAATTCAGGCAACACAGAGCAGCAACAGAAGATATTACAACAAAACAACCTCTGGTTTAACCTTAGAAAAACATCCTTCAAAGTACTGACTGGAACCTACCAGGTATAAATCAGGTGCTACTTTAACATGTACCAAGGCGGGAAGGGTCACACCTTAGCACAAGGAGCCGCTGTAGCTGCAGAACCAGGAACCTTCTCCAGGACAGCCACCCTGGCCTCCAGCCTGGAGAGAGCGGAGCGCAAGTCCTCCACCACTGGGAGGGAATCAGGAGAAGGTCAGGACGTTCACAAGCACAACACGACCCAGGACAACCCCAAAAATATCACCCTTTCAGCCCACCCAAACACACACCTTTGTGCAGACTCTGGTTCTCCAGTTCCAAATCCTTCATGCGTGTGACGAGCTCTCCATGGTCTCCGGTACCAGGTGCTGTGTTCTGGAGACAGGTTCAAAGGTCAAGGGTCAGGGGACAGAGGTCTGGGATAACCTGGCTGGACTGGCTCCTTTAAAAACACCAACCAGAGGAACTCTGACATATAGTTGTTCTTCAAAAGAGAAACCAGCCTGTTAACTCCAGGTCAGGAGGCCACAAGATCACCTCTCACTTCAACTAAGGCTGGAACATAAACTCCCCTCAAAGTCCAACAAATTACACCCTAATATTAGAATACCTTGTAAATGTACCCGGCAGGAAATGGGCTATATCAGCATATCAAGATAAGCTTGCTATTATGGAAAACACAGAAGTTAGCCGTCACTATGGCAGCGCTATTTGAACAGACAAAAGCTGCAGGGGGATTGGGGTAAATCTTAGCATCCAAGTTAGCCCTGAGTGGCAGGCGTTGCTGCTCGAAAAGATGGCAAGATTTCCTAAGCCCAGCGGCACGGGGAATGGCTACCAAAAGCCAGCTGGGCTTGTAGTCGAGTCAAACCTCAACTTAGTCAAAGGCTAAGCTGATGGACATCACCGACTGGAGAGAATCAGTCACCTGCACACATAGACCAATGAGCAAGTCTCTTGTATGATTAGGCTCAAAAGACTAAAAGCACAAAACAAAGGGATTGTGGGTAAAGCAAGCAGGCAGGAAGAAGTGAGCTTAAGGCTGCACGGAGAGAGACCAGGCCTGAGGGAATGAAGAGGGTGGGGTCGGCGATGCTTAGGGGGGCAGGATGAGCCTTTCCCAGAATGCAGTGTTGTCTTCAGCTGGCGTTTGCGAAGGGCGGGTGGGGAAGATGAGAGAAAGGAAGTCGCGTGAAGCCAAACGGTGCGGAGAAGATAGAGGAAGATGAGGACTAACATGACCAAAAATGGGAGATACCGTCATGCAGACCACCCAGGATGGGATGGCATGATGCCATGCAACGACATGCAGATTCAGCATGCAAGGTCATGCAGAAACACGCGCACACAGTGGGAGGGGGGCGGGGGAGATCATTTTCACACAAAACAGCTGGAGGGGGGGGGATCTCTTTTAGCATCCCAACACCAACCACAGCACAGCAGCACCAAAATAACTACCGCGGTTTAAAGCAACAAAACCATGCAACGCTCCGGTTACAGGATCACTACCCGACGGCCCCGACAGGAAGCGCATCACGGACAGGAAACGCATCACCACGCATCATGGACAGGGAACGCATCACCACACATCACGGCAGTTCTCCAAAACTGAGGCACAGTAACACCACAAAAGCAGCTTCACCACCAGGACGAGACACAGTGACTCAACGCACGACTCCCAGCAGTACCGTCTAAACAATATGCACAGCTCAGTCATGTTAGGCAGAAGACCTTCGCAAAGGACACAGATCAGCCTTGGTTATTCAAGTACTTAAACTGCATTTGCATGCAACACCTTAAGTGAAGGTCATTTTTTTTTATTTATTTATTTATTTTTTTTAAAAGCGTTAGTGCACGAACAGGAGTTTATTCAAGCTTTCTTCAAGGGATAAAGATGCTTGGATCTACATGTTGATTTCAGAGGGTTTTGCCTAGAGCTCCAGTTTCGTTCTTTTGGCCTTTCAAGACCTTAGAGTGACCAATTATGATCGCAATGAATGGAACCTTTTTTCAACAGATGCTTTAAGTGAGTAAAGGGACAGACAGACAGCACCTAGCACGCCTGGAGCAGATGGGGCTAAGGTCTTGCAAGGCCCAAAGAAAATGATTTCTCGACCAGTCATGGGATACAAACTCACAACCTTCCGGTCATGGGCACAATTCCCTAACCGACTGGGCTACACAGCGCCCAGGTGTGAACATCTGGTTCAAAGTTGGAGAGCCTTGAGGTTGAAGTTCAGAAAAGTGAAACAGCGATGGATGACCGAGAATGTGAGTCTGGCGATCCGCTGAAGAACGAGGGAATAGAAATCGCAGAAAGGGGTCCATCAAGCTGGGCCATACACTTCTCTCCACACTTCATCTTCCATCATGTCCCAAACAAATCCAAATCAAGCAGAGACCAACAAGCCTCACTCCCTTTAGAAAGCAGGTGCTACAAGCTTCACGTGCATCACCAGAGAGAACGTGTGATAGGCTGAGGAATCTCATGGGTGGGCAGTAACAGGCAATAACACGTGATTGGCTGCTGCAGATGAGTGGGCGGGGCGTTAGAACGTGTACGCATGCAGTCAGAAGGTATCGACACAGTGAGTGTTAACAGTCAGGGCCACTGGTGTGAAGGACCTGGAAGAGGGGGGAGGCGTCCCATAATTTTGTAACCGACTTCGGCATCCTGACGGATCCCCAAGCGTCCCGGACAGCCGAGGTGTCTCTGCGACGGGTCAGAGTGGGCGGGGGAGGGGGGGGAGATTCTGACGTGGCCTCAAAGACATGGGGGCCCGTTAGGAAGCTCTTAGAATGAATAAGATCAGGATTCCAGTGATGAACTGGAAGAGGGTTGGAGAGGGTCAAGGGGCAACAGAACGCAGCTCATAAACGAAGGACATGAAAGTCAGCGAACAAAAACACAGCCTTTAAATTCAGCCAAGAAGCAAAAAGGCTCTGGGGGGGAAAAAAAATAAATAAATCAAAATCGATATACGCAAGGAAATCGTTCTAAAATGAGCGTCAAATGAAATCAGAGCACCAAAACGATTTGTATGAACGCAAAAAAAGCTCGATTTGGTTGGGAAAAGCGGGAAAGGCAAACCTCGATTGATTCTTGGATTATTCATCTCAGATAAGAAAGCCCAGGCTACAGAATTATGGGACAAGAGAAGGTGAACAGGGAGGAGGGAATGATCCGGATGTGGGGCACACACGAAACCAGCAGCCCTCCCTCCGGATGAACGAAAAGGCGAGGATGGAAGGGAGGAGGGCAGTCCTACATAGACACCCCCACCAGGAGCCTGCAGGGGCAGGGGGGGGGGTACTGGAGAGCACAGTACTCACTCCGGCGAGGGATTTCTGGATATTCTCACGCGCCCGGGCAATGTCCTGTAGGATGGTGTTAGCTCCAGTGTCCTGTAGGGGCACAGGGGGCAGAGACAGGCAGGTCAGAGCAGGCGCCACAAGGGGGCGCAAGGAGAAAGCCGGAATCGGGGCTAAAGCGCAGCCGCCCAGGACAAAAGGCTGTGAGGCACTGCACGCTGACGGGGTGGGGGGGGGAGTAATGGGCAGAACACGGCACGGCTTCCCTCCGGGGAAATTTAAAACATTAAAAACGACACCCGAAGCTTCCTTTATTCAGCAAAACCCATGTGTCCTCCTCCAGATTCAGGTGAGAGGTGTTTAAAGACTTTAGCTTAAATGAGCACTGTTCAGATATTCCTAAAAACAACCAGCCTATCCCAGAAAAAAAAAATAAACAACACACTCTGGGTAATCGGATATCGTACAAAGTATTTAATTTGAGTCAGGGGGTGGGGGTCCAACGAGCTCGAAGCTGATTCAGCTGCATATCAGATAACAGCATAAACGAATAATAATAATAATAATAATAATAATAATAATCTCCAACACGTACATTAGCATCCGTCTCAAGCCAAATCTCGGGGGAGAGAAATGACAGGTTACCTTATAGACTCTTGGGAACAGCACTTAAAATGCTTAAAAACGAAAGCAGAGCTTTTAGATAATGGCAGGTCGTGTTACACTGAACGTCAGAGGCAGTGGGCTGCTGTTCGGTTTGTCAGCGTGTCGATCGCACAAGGGCTGCACCTGCCCCCATCAACCGTCCACTGTCCCGGCCTGCTCCGCTCACAGGCTGCAGGGGGCGCCGTCTCCACCACCGGGCTGCTCAGACAGACTAAAAATAACCCGAAACGTGAGAAGTGCTCTCATCGAGACTGACGCAAAACGCAGCCCCACCGGTCTCCCCAGTGCCGGGACGTGACCGGGCGTGAAGCCCACAGCTCGCTGCCGGTGAGCCTGGCGATCGACGCCGGGGGGGGGGGAAATCACCCGGGGTGCAGACACGCGGCAACCATCTTCTTGACGAGAGAGTGCAAGATAAGAAACCCCCCCAACTCCATGATAAGGAGAAGGAGTAACCTCCTGACCAGAAAGACGCACTGATTTCATCGCAAAGGGTCAAGGTGTTTCCCAGGTTACGATGATGCTTAAAATCCAATCTGCTCAGCCATAAACAAAAGGGAAACCCCACACCGTTTACACCTTAAAAAACACAGGGCCGGCAGTCAACCAAAAATCACCAAGGACTCCCTTACGTTTCCTTCAAGCTGCCTTTATATTTCAGTGGCGAGTAGCAGAATCAGCTTGGTTTAATAAAGGAGGATTAATGAGCTGTAAAGACAGGCTGTTACGTTTCCAGAGCGGGAAAATCACAGGCAGTCGGATGGCACACACAGGAGGCCCCAGGGTCCTACAGTCCCCACCCTGAGGACTGTGAGGGCAGACAGCCTCATCGTACTGGGGATGGGCCACGTGAAGGGGGTACCTGTGCCTGGAGTGCCGGGCCATTGACCCCCTCGTAGAAACGCCGCTCGGCCTCGTCGTACTGGGTCTTCTCGAACCAGATCTTCTCCTGGGACAGGTACTGCACGGCAGTCATTGTGCTAAGGGGAGACAGGAAGGAGAGTGGAGTCACATGAGGGCAGCGAGGCACTCTCATTGGCTACAGGCCGCCAGACGGGGTGGGGGTGGGGCAGGCAGGCTGCTCACTGACCAACAGCTTAACAGCTACAAGCCCTGGCAGGATATGGGTCAGGTTCCCTGTCTAGCCTCAAGAAAATCGATGGGATTCCAAAGCCTTCACAAGGACACTGGGAGGTACATCAGACACGAGCTGCCAGGGGCGAGGATGCGGAAGGGGAGCTCGTCATCTGCTCCGAAAACAACCCAGCTACCGGGTGGAATGTCTGCCGGCCTTCAAATAGAGGCCTGACCTCTAAATCACACGGCCCCGCAGCAACAAGAAACCGCGTCAAAAAAGCCTGAAGAACAAACGCGTCGAAAAAGACTACAAAACTGGATGTATAAACGCTAAAAGACTACAAAACTGGATGTATAAAACCACAACATAGCTTCAGAGAGCTGCCTCATGTGGAACATTTACAGACTTTTGTTTATAAAGTAACATGCTGCAGGACACACACACACACACACACACACACACACACACACACACAACAAAAGTGTATGCACACATATATATATAAAAAAAAAAACGAGTAAGCTTGTGATGTCAGCCGACCGTCCTCCTTGTGAAGACGGGCGATACTTGTCCCTCCGGGGGGCGCCGTTTTCCTCAGGTCCTGGCCCATTTTGGTCTTTTGCCACCTTGGCTGGCCTGCCGGAGTCCTTGGCTCCTGCGGGCTTGTCCCCACCCTGGGCCGCCGCAGAACGGCCATACAGCCGCTGGTAGTAGGCGGACTCCGCCTGGTCGTAGCGAGGCTTCTCCACCCACACGCCCCCGACTAGCTCGGCGGGAAAACGGGGCAGCCCGTTCACAGACTCCTGCTGGGCCATGGGGGAGGGGGTAGCTGGGGTGGGGGCCTGGGTGAGATAGCCCTCGTCGGGGGTGGGCTGAGCGGCCAGGCCGCGCCCGGGGGGGAGGGACAGGGACCCGGGAGCAGCACGGGGGTGGGCCTGCTCCATGAGACAGCGCTCGGCTGAGTCGGAGGACGGCTTGTTCGCCAACACTGCCTGCACCAGGTGGTGGCAGGCCTCCTGGTCAGCATGGCGACCATCGGCAGACTGTTCGGACATGGCTGGGGTAACGGATGGAGGACTGCGCGAGGTCTCCCGGCCCGATGGTGCCGGTGGAATGGACCCATCCGGGGCAGAAGCCTGACTGACCAGCCACCGCTGGTAGGAGCTCTCGGCCTGCTCATAGGCGCTGCGGCCGAACCACACTGTGTCCGCCTGGAGCCCGAGCAGCATTGCGCTGGGCCCAGGGGAGCGGCTTTCGCTGGGGGAGACATATTGCCCGTCCCCTCGCCCGCCAAGACGCCCTTCCACGCCAGCAGCCTTGGTCTCCGAGCGAGAGGAACGCTTGCGGCGCCGCTGCCGCTTCCCTACGCGCCGCACGTCGCCGTTTACGCTGCTGCTCTCCGGTGAGGACGAAGTGCCGTTTCCCTCCCGGGGGACCACTCCAGGCCACCCCTCCGCAGGTGCACAGGTGGTGCTGTCCACGTGAGCCTGATCCAGCTTGGCCTGATCCATATCTTGATTTGAGGGGGGGGGGAGGATTTTCACTTCTTGAATCCAAAATGCAGCACAGGGAACGAAGAGAGGAACAGGTAACAGGGGCAGGCTTAAGACTTAATTTTATACTGGATTTAAAACAAAATGGGGCTGATCCCGAGACCTTTCACACTTCCCAGGATAAAGTGCTTTAACTTAAAAGGCTTATGAATCCACCTACACCCAACCCCCTTAAGCTATACCTGCTACCCTGCCTATGTGACACTGCGTTCAGAGAGACAGCACCACTTAACTGTGATGCATGATCTGAGCTTAATTAAAACCACACAAATTGCTAAGAGCCTTTAAAATCAAGGTCTTGGATCACTGCCCCACTGAAAACAGAGGCATGCAGCTGAGAATGGAAACAAACACAGGCCAAAACAAAAAATGTGAAATGAAATTCATTGTGACCTCATTCTCTAAAGTCGCTGTTGAAAAACACTCAGTTGCACCTGCAAACTGGGCTAAAAACATTTTATGCACCTATAAAAATAGCCTAGGACAGGATTGGCAGGAGCAGTTTACGATGCCTCTGATGGGGAAACCTTGAGGTCTCTGTGCACAAGTTTACCGGGGCTTAGGACATGTCAGCCATAAGCTTTTGGCAGTTGAAAAGTACACGATCAGTATTAACGGAACATTAAGGGCAAGCGAAAAATCAAGTCACAGATGAACATCAGGCGGGCTGTTTTAGGAAACAGCAGCAAACGGACGCAGAATCAAACCAAACTAAATACGTGCATTAAAAAAAAATAAACTATGTGAAGGAGAGGAACCAGTGTGGGTGACAGGGTGGGTGGTGACTGCCGACACACAACGTCCACCGCACGGCATGCAGCGGAACACTTGCCGCTACTCACCGGCTGGAGGTGCCCGGCAGTGGGATCAAGTAACAGAAATGCTTGGTGGGCCCCTTTCATCCGCGAAGCATGGGTGGATGGGCACAGTTAGGTTGGGGTGACTCGAGCCTGAACACCATGCACTCAAAGCCGGAGCTCATTAAAACCGACGCAACGCGGGCCGAGGTGGTACATTTTTTATCGCGCATTTACATAGTAATCTTAAGGATGCTTTGTTTCCTTGTGTCTAACATTCAAGTACTTTCGGAGGTATTATATAGAGGAGGAGTAAGTTCCGACAATCAAATACTCACTTTGCAAGTCCTTGGCAGCATTAAGAAAACAGAGAAACTGGTCATTATAAAGGCAGGGTGATTAATACATCAGGTTCGTTTCATACCATATAAACAGTAAGTAACAATTTCAATGTTTAAACGGTAAACCATAGTCACATAAACAACAATTTCATACTACTATGCAACAAATTCACATACATATTACACACACACACACACACACACACACACACACACACACAATACGGTCACAAACATTATATACACATTTTATATTGATATATACAGATTTTATATGCAACACAATCCTTTTTATATATAAACAAAATACCGCACAAAGCCAGCAAATCCCGACCACCAGAATAAACCTCGGCCAGAGATCGGCCTTTAAGCCGTGCACCGTACTCCGCGGCAGCCTCAGCCTGTCACCAGCTCACCTTTAGGGTGGCGGGGTACCGCTTCGATGGAGTAAAGCGGGCGGACATTTTAACGGCAGCATCCCACACCCGCACAGTGATTATTAGCATTATCCAGACTGCCGTGCGACCCTCAGCTCGCTACCGCTATCCTCCGACCCTGGGCTCGCCTACACCTGGCCCCATCGTGACACGGGGAGCCCCTGGCCCTATCGTGACACGGGGAGCCCGAGCCCCAACCCCCCCGCCGCCGCCGCCGCCGCCGCCGCCGCCCCGTTAACCGCCCCGTCAGCGTCAAAGGGTCACGGCGGCATCGGCGGACACGTCCGAAGGCAGCCAGGGGCCAGAGTGACGCGAGAATCAGCGCTCATTTACTCACTGTGAAATTTTATCGCTTTATTTCGGCGAGCAGGACAATCCGCGTGCGACTCTCTCGCGACGACAAGAGCGGAAAAGGGCAGCGAATAGAGAACCGCGTCAGTATATCCACTGTTAAGCGGGGGGGGTCGGCCGCGGAAATCGCTCATAAACGCGGCCGATTGGCGGCCTTTTTAATGTGGCTGACAGATCTGAAGGTATTTAGACACCTATTAGATGGTACGTATACTACAGGATGGCTAGGTTTTTTGGATATTTTTTTATCGTTACATTACCTTCCACCTATCAAAAATGGAACATTCTGAGTATGACGTCGGGGCATGATCATGTGAACTTGACAGGGGGCGGAGCTTCTTGGCTTTATAATCCTGGTGCTGAATGGCTCAGCTCTGCCGCGTCCAAACCGGTGTAGTATTTCTATGTATGCTAAGGTCAGTGTAAATTTAAATTTGATTATAAATGCGAAATAAATGTGAGAGGAACACCTGCCAGTTACGTCATACACTTAATCTCATTATGCAATTAATTTTTAACGACTGCTTCCCTATAATCAATTGTCCTATTCTTTTTACATACTCGTACCATCTACTGAATGTGTCCAAATTAATTGTGCGGGTGCAGTATTGTTAATGTTCTGTAATGTTATAAAATACACACGTTAAATATTCCTTAGAAGGTGCACAAACACATTTCATGAGAGGACATACTACATATATCATGTGACATGATTATTATGTGGTAAGAATGCAGTCTATTAAATGGCTATGAAATTTTATGTGGCAGGAACGATGCAATATAAAATTGTACACTAGGGGTCATTAACGGGATAATATACCCACCGTTCACATCGGGGCATCCAATATATTAAACACCACAGACAAAGCAATGCATTTCTATAGTTTATTAAACAATGTCCTGTTTCCTCACCCAAGTTATTATCTCTAAGAGCGTGTGACACTTGAAATGACGTGGGCAGTACCATGACTATTAGTTGGACTGATATTTAGCCAGCATGAAAATGAACTCTCTGCGGAATATCAGCAGCAACTGTGTAACAGTTTTAAAAGAACAGTAATAACAATAAAAAATATGAAACATACATCTGAAAAACCGTTCAAAATGTAAAATTAATGAACAGCAACAGCTTTTTAATCCCTTTATATTTCTTTCCAGTTCGTAGTTCACATGTAGTAAAAGAACTAAATTTACCTTGCCAAACATCCCTCATTGGAGCAATGCAGGAGGCTAAATCCAGCCAAAGCATGTTAGAATCATGTTAGTCTGCATATATATCTCTGAACAGACACTCATATAACAGCACTGTCAAATTTAATAATGCTCTCTCTAATGACCATTCAGCATACTCAATTCTGATTGGCTCAAGCATCACTCAAACCAACCAATGGTCAGTGGTGTGACTATTCAGACTCTGATTCAGGGTTCAAATATCCGCACTTTAAGGGTGTCATATCCCACACTAATCCTTTGCGTGTGTGCGTGCATACTTTTGAGTGTTAGTGTTACTGAGCTTCATCCTCCACTCCAGCCCCTATGGCTGGTTAATCTCAGAGGATTGACACGTTAGATATGGATAGCAGAAAGACATTAACCTCCTGCTGTTGGGCTCTCTCTCCATCCCAGAGGAGAGCTTTGGGTAACAGGATCCGCCTTGATGCCCATTTTCTCACCCAAATGCACCAAGGTTGTTGCATAACTAACTGCAATCTTATTTTTGAATTATGTACTATCATGTTCATCTGATTGGCTGTCACCAAAAATTCTGAGCAGGGTACAGATGACCTGCTTATGAAAGTTTACAACCCTGCCAGTATGCCTGTATTGGGACAGTCCACCTTCATGGCTGATATTTGAAGGCACGACCCATGAAAGAGCCTCGGAACGAACATTTCCCTCAGGCCCCTGGCGGAACCCAAACCTTCACTATAATCTCTGAACTCATGCCCTGAAGATGTTCAGAATCACGATACGCAACATAAATTCACCCTTCGCTCTCGCAAAGAGCTGTTAATGTATAAGCATCTTCACTCTCACACACTATCACTACTTACACATTAAAAAAAAAAACATTTAAAAATCCAATTTAAATAAATACAAATAAATTAAATAAAACAACAGGTTAAAGACATAAATTCTGTTAGCGTAACAGATAACAAGCAGATAAATTCTATCACACGCTCACATACGAATGAGCGGGACAGCAGTGTGGCTAATACACACATCAGTGTGTCACCTGGACTGATTTCACATGGCTGGGGGCGGGGGGGTATTCTCACAGAGAGTTCCACTGGCGGTTACAGGGTCTTCCTCATGAGGGAGACAGAGTCAGTGTGGTTTATTCCTGACTGAGCCGGAGATGGCAGGCAGTGGGGTAAGGATACAGTCCTGTGGATGGAGAATCACTAGCAAGACGAGCTGGAGAGCAGAGCAGCCACGTCAGGCTGATCCGCACCTCATTTTCAATACTACTGTACATCTGAAGCTTCCGTGGTCCGGTAACCCTGGGCAACCACTCGGCCAATCAGGCCGGGAGGTCACGTCCGATGCTTGTGATTGTGTTGCGGTGATTGGCACAGTGTCCTCGCTGGATGTTTTTCCTGGGTTTTACGGCGACTGCGGCGAAACCACGGGAATGTTGCAAATCCAGCGGCTGAAGATCTCTGAGGGTCGTGGCAGTTTTGGCTACTTCGAATGGAGATGGATGGAATGTAGTAGAGAGACAATGCCGGCTCGCCGACGTAATGAGCATGGGAAAGGAAAAGAAATCAAGGTGGCAGACTGCAAAAACCAGACATCCTGATTCAAGGAGAAATAGAGGCAAAGAGTATCAACAGAACAAACAAGGTATGCAAGTGGTCAGTGATGGTCTGGTTACGGTCACCCATGTGACTGCAGGTTCACGCAGTAGAGGGTGAGCTGGGCAGACTTTGTCTTCATTTGGCAATTTCTAGGAATACAGCCCTGGCTACGCTGCTGGGCAGCAAGGAAGCCCAGTGTTTTGGAAGGAAGGCCCCCGTTCTGAGGCGTCTAGAAATGTGCCTGTACGTTTGCCCATCGAAATACAGCACTCTTTCTGACTCGCCCTTGTGTATGTCTCTATGAGCGTGGTGCCGTGTGTGTGTATTCTATTCACGCACATTCCTATCAGTGGCCATGTATCCTTAACAGTGTAAACATCCGTCTGTACGTGTCTGCCGCTGATAAAGTATGTTTAGTGCAGGTGTGTTTGTGTTGGCTGGCATGCATTATTGCAGGTGACTTTCTGACTAGCGACACAGAGCACTCCCTTGTTATTAAAATTGAAGAACGGCTGTTTTATACATCTCTGTGTTCCTCACTACAATTTTCTACTTCAGTTTAGCAAAAGAAAATCTGAGACTTGCTCTCAGTTTGAGACTGGGTAAGATGAACTCTGGCCAATACATGTAAATTATGTATATCATGAAGGAATAATTGGACAAAACCTGCCTTAAGTTAAATGCATGATGTGTGAGATGTAAGAGTGAATACGTTTTGTCCGTGTGTGTGTGTCTGCAATGTCTGTAAAGTTGAAAACCGTTACCTGGGTTTTGGCTGTACTGTGAGTTTGTGTGTTCTTGGTGCGTCTTCCATTTCTGTGCGTCCGTTTATGTGTGTTTGAACGTGATGATGTGTGTGGACGTGTGTACGTGAATTCCCTTTTGGCGGAGTATTCGAGGTATGCGTGCATCTGTGTGAATGTGTGTGTTACCCTGCAGCACCTTGACCCTACAGGACAGCTCTCAGGAGGGCGGGTGTACGGTGCCCCCTAGGGTCCACTGGTGACTATAGCACCCCATCCATGAAGCTAGTGTCCAGCCTTTGGATCAGCACGCGGATGAAGGACATCTCCTTGCGTGTGTTCTCAAAGATGACCCGTGGGTCGTCCGACTGGCAGCGCAGGCAGTTGGGGGCCATGACCATGGCCAGGTTGCTGATGTCCATCTTGGTGATGGAGACATTGGCGGGCTGTGCGAACACCTGGGCAGAGCGAGGGGACAGGGCAGTGACAGAGTCAGTGGAAGTAACAGAGGAAGAGGAGGGATGCGTGTGCTTTACAAAGAGAGAAAGACTGAATGAAGAAGAGACAGACACAGGAAAAGGCCCCTCAGAAAGAAACAAATCTGAAAAAAGGTCATAGAGAACAGCTGCGAGATCAGTTTGACTAGGTACTGATAGACAGAAAGCAAAACACAAAATAAACAAGGTAAGGCAATGTGGAGTTAGGAAGCAGAACAGGAAGTAAATACAGTAACACAATATGGAGTTACTGGACAGGAAGTGGAACCGGAAGTAAATAAGGTAAAGCAATATGGAGTTACTGGACAGGAAGTGGAACCGGAAGTAAATAAGGTAAAGCAATATGGAGTTACTGGACAGGAAGTGGAACTGGAAGTAAATAAGGTAACACAATATAGAATTAACAACCAGAAGTGTAACAGAAGGTAGTGCAACATGAAATTGAAAGGCAGGCAGAGAGAAAGACGGATAGGAAGTAGAGCGGACCTGCAGGAAGCGGATCAGGTAGCACAGCACCATCTTGTTGATGTGGGGCAGGTTCAACACCAGGTTGACAGCAGCCTCTGCATCGTCGTAGTTCGAGATGCACTCATCGTAGAACTCGTGGGGGATCAGGGGCTCCTCCAGTTCACGGTACCACAGTTTCAGCAGGGAGGCTGAATGGGAGGGTAGTCGAGTAACTGACACCATCGTAGTGAAGGGAACCGGCACACGGTATTAACTGATCTGATCAGGACAGAAAACCCCAGCTGCACGCCTGAGCATGCGTGTGACTCCACCTCGGTCAGAAACGGGATGGCAGCCAGCAGACTCTCATCAAACAGACCCAGCTTATGTAGGAAGAAGGTGTGGAGAAGATGGTGAGGAATAGGTGGAAAACCAAAATGATGGGACAGTGATCAGAAAGCAGGGATTGAGCGGCAATACCTGGAACATGGGGGTCCTCGAGCCCTGTGGGGACCCTCCACTGGTCCACCTGGAGTTTCAGAGCGTTGACCTCATCTATGTCACCAGGAACTCTGTGACGCAACACGGACGGCCAAGCAGTCTCAGTTAGCCGTCGATGAACACGTGCTGATCCCTCTTCCCCTTGCCCTCCCTCTGTTTCTATCTTCACCCTTCGTTTTCCCTCATTCTTCCCCAGTCCTTTATTCTCCATCCTTTCGTTCTTTCTCCCTTCTTTCATCCCTCCTTCCATCTCCCTGCCCTTTCCCTAATGCCTGCCCCACCAGGATGGCTTCTACTCTTGACATCCCTAGCAGAAACCAGCCCAAACCAGCCCAGATGGTCACCTGAAGATGCCCTCGGTTTGGTCCCCGTTGAGCACCAGAACCTCCTCAGAGAGGCGTGTCTGCACCCAGGGCAGCTGCCGGTCAGGGTAGCGCTCCCTCTGTAGAGCCATGACTTCCGCCAGTGTGCTGCCGAACATGGAGGGGCTGAAGATGGCGACGTGGGCATAAATGATCTCCTCCAAGCTGGGCTTCTGCAGGCCCTGCAATGCGCACGGGGGTGAGGGGGACAGACACAGCATTAAAAGAGATGTGGAAGCACTGCACAGTAAAGTAGGAGCAGTGCACAATGAAGTAGGGGCACTGCACAATTAAGTGTGAGCACTGCACAGTGAAATAGAAACATTGCATGGTGAAGTAGGAGCACCACATAGTGAAGTGTGAGGACTGCAGGGTGAAGTGTGAGAACTGCACAGTGAAGTTAGAGCACTGCACAGTGAGGTAAAAACACTGCGCAGGAAAGTGCAGAGTAATAGCGTAGCATCCCATCTCAGAGGTCATCTCCAGTTAGCAAAAGGAGACAAACTGCCCTCGTTACCCTGCCAAGGTGCAGTGGCCGCCAGCCTTGCTGGGACAGGCCCGTTGGCGGGAGCACAGACCGGCACCGCGGCGGGCTGCTGGCCGTCTGCCCCATGTATGACCACACACACATGCACGCGGGCAAAGGCAGACTGAAAGAGAGACACAGGGGTCTTTACGAAGGCTGTTACACACATGAAAGCACAGAGAAACACACACACACACTGACGTGCTTTAAACAGTCTGAGTTGCGGCGTGGCAGAGAAAACAAATCATGTCCTATCAGAGAGAGGCATCAGCCGGAAGGTGCAATCTGACTGGAAGCTCGGAGTCTGAGGCGGGACTAAACCGCCGCCTCCCGGGGAAAATTAAAATTAGAACAGAGGCGAGGAGGGCCAGAGTGAGCTGGAGAATGGGAAGACATGAGCAGGACAAGGTGAGGAAAACAAACCTATGTGTGGATTGTTAAACACGTAACCTCAAACGGAAACAGAAACCTGACCTACCGCAGCTCGGCTAAGATCACCCCCCCCCCACATGGCTTCCTGCCACCTGTTCCCATGGTAGTGATGCGATGTGATAGGCCTTCCCACGACGCAGACAAATAGCCTGCTCACTATAATCAATCACAATCAGAAAGTGGTCACTGACGCCAAGGGAAAGGCCTGGCGCCAAGTAACTCACACTCACGGTGCATCCAGACCCAACACGACCCCATAAATCAAACCTTCCCCCATGACCCCTGGCCACCTAATTCTCACTCTGTTTTAAAACGGTGCACGTCTGTGTGGAACAGGTCTCAGGGAGACAGCGAGGGGCCTAATTTGTGAGCACGTGCGTGTCATCCAGAGAACGCTTACCCAGAATCCCATGCGTTACCGTGCGACATCGTGAGGCAGATATATGAGGTGTAGAAACTCACCTTGCTGAATATGTGTCGCCCTCCATCACCTCCACACCTACAAACCTGCTCCGCTCAGCACATCCTGAGGTGACCTACATATCATAACTCCGCGTCTCGCCCCACAGCTACCCAGAATGCCTTACTGTGATGGAAACTCCAATAAGCCAAGATGTGGGGGGGGGAAAAAAAAAGCTAAACTCTCCTCCATGTTCCATTTTGGTCCAGCTGCCACCTCCAGGAATGTCTGGCTGTGTCGGACATCTTGACTAATCTGCTGAGAAACATCTCCATCATTTAACCCAGCGGTCATTTAACTCAACCTTCCGCGTAATTATGTGTCTGTCATTGTATTTACTTCACAAACTCACATGCCAAACACAAAGGCTACACACCACCCTGATTTTTCTATATAATTTCGTATAATTTGATATATGGTGTCCGCATTGGCCTACTAGACCGAGGAAAGCAAAAACAGCACCCAAATAACCCAATCCAACCTTCACGGCTGAGAACCCTTAAGCGCTTATCGCCTTTCAGCTTTTCCTTGTACCGGGACACACTCACACATGCAGACGTGGGCTTTCTCTGAGCAGCGCGGTAAATGGGACATTAGGAAACAGCACACGTATGTCGCTCTGGCAGCTCGTGACGCAGAGCGCTACCGGGGTAGGGGGGGGAGGTAACTCCGAATGAAACGCCTGCGAATACAAAACTGCGTGAATGAAATATTTAACGTTGGCATCGGCATGAGATGAAAGCTTCAGAGGGGTGAAGGGCAGACTTGGGAGGCTCTCTCAGCCGCGGGCGATACGCAACCGTCACTGCATTTTCACATTTTACGTCGAGATGAAATTTATTACGGTAATTAGCCAGCTGCTGCATGGAAACCGCTTCACGTTCACGGAAGAAATGTGGCGGCGAGGGTCATGGTGTTCGAGGCCAACGTCAATGGACGTGTTGTTAATTTATCGACTACCTGCAGGACGGCACTGTTTTCAAATCAGGTATGCAGGTAAAATTTCAATAAAGCCCTCGTTACAGAAAGGGCTGGTTAATTACAGACTGCGAGAGGATCCTTCGCTGAGCTCTGAGTCTAATCAGAACGGGCTTCCACAACCCCATTTTCTAGCAATTAGACACAGGGAGCCATCGATGGCTAGGTAATTAGACAGGAGACAAACGGCCTCACCCTGAGTCGAGCGACAGACTGGGCCTCAAACACCCCGGGGGACTAGAACCATCATCAGGGCACACTAAGTACACTCTGAGTCCGGGGAATACTTTAAAAGCACTTAAGTACTTTAAGAGAACCTGCAATACTGAATTCTGAGGAAGCTTTTAATGTGATTTAATGGAGCTGGGCCCACAGCCAGAAGGTTGTGGGGTCAAATCTCAGAGAGGTCTCTGCAGGAAGTTCCCTAATGCGACCTTCCTCCGGAGAGCTGTCCACCTGGTGGATGGTGATGGGCTCATCGCCCCGGAGTCTCCAGTGAGTGGTACTGTTACCTTTTTGGCTCCGGTCAGGCCCGCCTTCTGCAGCTTCCGGTGACAGTACTTAGCATAGCTGCTTATGGCCACACCTACAACAAGAGGAAAGAGAGAGGGAGGGAGGGTCAGCGCGGGACCGTCTGGGCCCGGCAGGCCTGCTGAGAGCACACAGAACCACAGGCACATTAGTCAGCCTGTCACGGGGAGAGCCAGATAGCCCCAGGAGACCAGTGGAGTTGAACAGACATCGGAAGCGCACCACCTCCCTGAGGAGGAATGTGGATTAGTGCGTTCACATGAGCATGAGGGCCAGGATTAAAGACACTCTAATGATCTGGTAGATGTGTGTCCAGGACAGCGACTCTGTCAACCTTCATCCTGGAAGAAAAACAACCGGATCGGTGTCTGACACATGCAGGGGGCGTGGTCACAGCCTGTGTCAGGTGGGGGGCGTGGTCACAGCCTGTGTCAGGTGGGGGGCGTGGTCACAGCCTGTCTCAGGTTGGGGGCGTGGTCACAGCCTGTCTCAGGTTGGGGGCGTGGTCACAGCCTGTGTCAGGTGGAGGGTGTGGTCACAACCTGTGTCAGGTGGGGGGTGTGGTCACAGCCTGTCTCAGGAAGTCTCAGGCGGGGGCGTGGTCACTTGTCCTGAGAGGGGGCGTGCTAATTTTCAAAAACCCCATGTCCTGCAGTTTTGCCCCCATCTTGCCAGCATCCTTTTATTGAATATTACCAGTAAACACAGCAATGCTTATCATGGGTTATACAGATTTTAGTTATATTGATTTTTTTTTATGGTATACGTATGGTGCGTTCGTTTTTCTCTCGGAACTCGGAAATTCCGAGTTGAGTGACATCACGTCCGACAATCTCCCGTTCGAGCTACCCACATCTCGGAACAAACATGGCTGCCTCCATGAACACGTTGCTGTGTGTTGTTGCTTCCTAAAGGATTATTAGGAACACCTGTTCAATTTCTCATTAATGCAATTATCTAATCAACCAATCA